TGTCGCTGTCCTCCCGGGGTAATGCTGGCTCTGAAGCTGTGGTGGGAAAGCCCTCCCGCTCCAGCCTACATCACTGCATGGGATTCCTTCCCCGGGGAGTGCAATGAGGGAAAAAAAAGTCCGCGGCTCTTCACTCGACGTTTATCCACAAAGTGGTCCTGGATTAAGCTCCAAAGTTTTTATCAGTCAGATTCCACCATGAAAAATGTCTGTTTTATCCCCTTTTATGAGTTTTTGGCCATTGACAAGCTTTAAATCGCTGCTTCCTGGTACAACAGGCTCTAGAAGCGATCGCTTTTTTCTTTTTTTTTCCCTTTCTTTTTTTGAAGAGAGTGGTTGAAGCAAATGGAGCATGGTGGCTGAAGAAAAAAATTCCATTTATAAGCCGCACCGGTCTATAAGCCGCATGGTTCAAAGTTCAGGAAAAAAGTCGTGGCTTATAGTCCGAAAAATACGGTAATTCCTTCTGACAAATCTCTACATTTTACCATTTCTGAGAAAATTGACTCATAAATTGTCATTACGATAGGTAAAAGAAAGTGTGTAGTTTTATTTCTGATGTGTGGAAAAATACTCTGAAATTCATATTTCGTCTGGTACAGCGGCCTAAATGACTTGCATGCATTTTTATTTAAACTGTTTATACTAATTAGAGACTCTAAACTCAGACTTGCAGAAATGTAGCTCTGCTGAGCAGCTTCCTGGTGTGAAAATAAGTAACCGTTAAAAAAAAAGACAGACTAGAAAATGAGGATGTTGGTGCGTTCCTGTTAAAACTTGCTCTTGCTTCACACTGATTTATCTGCAGTGACGGTGCTCTCGTGAAGCGAAGATTTTACACTCGGCTCAAACTCTGTTTTGTATCATGAGATAATGTCTTTCATCGGTTTTTGAAATTACTTTTTTTTTCTAATGAATAGAGCAACCAGTTATAGAAGCCTTTAATTTGACTTGTGTTTTGTTGAACAAAGTGACTGTAATGTGACTAATAAGTCATGAGAAGACTCATCTTTATGACCAACTTAAGGTCTTACAATCAGACTTCCCTCTTAATAAAGAGTAAAATGTTGAACAAAAAGCAGAACTTAGAGCATAAATGTGCTGCAGCTCATCCTCTGGGAGAAAAATCAGTAAGAAAAATGCTAATTTGACGTAATATCATTGGAGCTTCTGTAGATGGTCACGCAGGAGCGTTTCCCATAGTGAAACACCGAAGGAAGTAGAAAAAGAACATCCACTTATTCACTTTGTTTTTGGTTTTAAATTTTGAATAATTTTTCTTTTGTTCTGTTCCTCTAAATACGTTTGATTAATTGACTAATAAATGTTGATTATATGTATCAGTCTTGTCACACCGGTGTAAATGTGGCATCATTTATGCCAGTGGTTCCCAAACCTTTAAGCTTTTGACCCACAAAATAACAGTAGCAGAGACCTGTGCCCCCAGCTATTTTTGGATGATAAACATTTGTATCAGGTTAACTAAACATGGGCATAGTAATAATATTTTTATACTACATTTATCCATTTAAAATATACTAACCTCACTCCTTTGTAACAACTAAGGCAAAAATGTCATTAATTCAGAAAATCTTTTCAGGACCCCACCTTGATGTTTCGGGACCCCACTTTGGGTCCCGACCCCAACTTTGGGAAACACTGATTTATGTAACTCTCTAATGCTGGTTTCATAAACGTTTTCATGACAACAATTAAACAATGAAAAGACAAAGTTACTTCTTTCCTGAGTTCTGCATTAAGAACATATATGTGTTTGCCCACATAATGCATAAAACAACCAGATAACACAACACTAAGGAAGGAATGAAGGCTGAATGTGGAAAGGAAGAGTAAGAGGCACAGTTTGTTACCACTGTTGTCTTGGAACAAGGAGGTCAACAACAACAACAAATATGTAGCAAGTAAAGACGGCAGCAGAGTGTCCTCCAGCAGTCTAAGCCTTTAGCAGCAGAACTAAAGAATAACTCAGGAAACCAACCCCAACTATAGGATTTATCAAAAAGGAAAGTCTTCTGTTTAGTCTCAGCCTCACAGACAGAAACTGGAAGTTGGTTCCACAAGAGAGGAGCTTGATAACTGAAAGCTCTGCCTCCCATTCTACTTTTAGAAACTTGAGGAACCACAAGTAAACCTGCAGTCTGAGAGTGAAGTGCTCTGTTAGGAAAGTAAGGAACAATAAGATCTTTAATATATGATGGAGCTTGGTTGTTGAGAGCTTTGTATGTTAGAAGATTTAAAGTTCGAGTCACATTCTAACTTCTAAGTCACATCTTAAACACATTTATCCTCAGCAGCTTATAAAACAGCATGAGAGCTGACAGCGTTGACAGTTTTACATCATTTATTTGTAATTTTTCATGTCTGCATTTTTTATTGGTTTAATTTATTTTTTGTGGTCTCTCGTGTCGTTACTTCACTGTTTCATGTGCCGACAGTTTACTTTTTTTAAATTATCTTCTAACTTCTGTCTGTGTTTCCTGTTCAGATGGCAGCATACCTTCCAGCACCGTCTCCAGTGCGGGCCCCTCATCCCCAGTCACAGACAGCTCCGGTCTGAACTTCAGCTTTAGCGAGTAGGCCATCTATCCACAAAACCTGGAGAACTTGTGAGTGTCTGAGGACGTCACCCCGCCTCAGACCTCAGACTGATCATGGACTCCTCTGGTGGGCATTAACCCCACAACTCTAATCATCCCGTCACTGCAGCTCCTGTGGATCTCCTCCATTCTCTTTGTTGACATTTCCAGTGATCATATCCAACATAAAGCCAGCAGTCCCACCATCTGTGCCTTTCAGTCACTTTGGATGCTGCCTCATTAAATCATCAGGTGCCTGCTGCTTCTTTTTCATTTCAAATATTTTTACACCAAACAAGTTCTGATTTTGAGCTGAAGATGGTAGTAAGCCCAGGTGATGTCTGAGTATCTGCTGTGTGATTGTTAGAACACTGACGAGGCTGGAAACTAAAAAAAACTTTCAACCAAAGTCAACAAATATAAAAAGAAGCACCTTTAGGTATCGTGTTGTAATTTGGGTCTTCAAAATATGTGCTTTGTAGATTTTGTTTGCTTCATGATTCATGAACATTAGTTTGTGGTCCTGACAGAATTTACAGGAAGTTTCCTGTCTCCACTTGTTGATTTTGCTGTTTCTGTTTAAATTTTTATTTTTTTAAAGGAATGTCAAATTACTTTTTTTCGTTAGTGTTTCACAATAAGGGATAAAAATATCAAAGAAATTCTGCTAAAAACTGGCCCCCATATATAGAATATTGTGAAATCATGTAAATAACCTGTTTCATCTCAAGTTGTCATCATGTTTATCAAAGTGTTGAATTCATTTCTGTTTTCTGTTTGATTCTTAGTTGACTTTTATCAGGCAAAATACAGGATTTATTTGAGGGGTTTTGTTTTCCTCTGTAAGACAAGACATCTGATCAAAGTTTTTGTCTTTTATGTGACTGATGTTAAATGAAAAAAATGTGTAAATGTGCCTTTAAATTATTTGAGATTCATTTGTTTAATTTTCATATCAAGTTGATTTAATGAAACCAGTTTTAGTTCCTGTGGTCAGTTTTTCTGTGGATGAGTTGATTTAGTTGTTTTCTGCTGTGCTGTCAGTTGTGATTATTATTGAATTATTTAAAAAACATTGTGCTCAGGTAAAGAGGTAATCTAAAGATCTAATCTAGTTTTTTATCAAACTTTTACTGAAATCATTTACATTTTGAAATGAAAAGTGTAGTGATTAAATTAAAGCACTGATGCCCAAAAGGAAGATTTACTACAAGTAACCATAAGCTTGATTAACTAAGATCTCCAGCTGCAAAAAGCAAAACAGATTTTTTTTGTTTTTTTGGCCGAGTTTTCTTGAGTTTTTGTCAGAAAAGCAAAAGCTCATTGCATATTTCCTGTTTGACATCTGCCTGTCTTCAAATACTTACGTTTACTTTAATAACTTTAGAACCTGATTAAGGTCAGAGAGCAAAGATTTTAATTTTTTTCCCGAAGTCTGACTTTCTCAGAATTTTGACTTTTAATCTCAGAATTCAGACAAATCAGGGATGATTTTTTTTTCTTTTTGGCCCTTCTTTTTATAAAAACAGAGCCATATCCAAAAATTAAAATTATATAACACTTTCACAAACTTCTAGGAACCATAATTCTTAATAGATGCCTGTTATCAATCATCATGGAGATATATATATA